ATGATCGCCGCCTACGACTCCGAGACGGGTCGGTGCTTCGGGGCGTCGGCCTGAGCATGATGGGGAAAAATGGCAATACTGTGGATGGACGAAATCCTGCACCACCTGAGAATGATTCCCCTGTAAATACCAACGAACAACGGCATCCCATGGTTTCAAAGTGGCGCAGGATTTCGTCCATCCACAGTAGGGAACCGGGTGGTCAAAATTAGCGGTTGTTGGCAGCCCCTTGAATTGGACGTAGTCGGCACCAGGGTCCGCGACCGCTTTGGGTGGCTTCCCTCTGCCTTTTATTCAAAGCATTCAGAAGAGGGATCCCTACTAAATCGGAACTGTCGACTCGTATTATCCGCTGCCTCGGGTTGAATTGACGAGGCCACCAAGATGTTGTTGGGAGCAGAACCCAGTGGCTTGAGTCCAACTTTTCTCAGATGTGGCTTGGAAGAGTTAGACATCCACACTATGATGGACAAGCAGAAGTGTTTGTGACTGGTCTCAGTCGTATGATTTGAGTTGTGCCACAATATAAGTTGCAATATAAATGGTTTCTATGATATGACAATGTGTTGCTGACAGTTCGCCACGATTTCAGTGAGAGAGTGACAATGGGTCGGATTTACCGGAGATGCCAAGTATGTGTCATGCAGGGAAGACGCACGGCCTTATCACACCTGCGACAGGTTTCCAACTTTGCGAGTAGCCGGTCTTGTCAGGGCATCGCTTTGCAAGCGCACCCCAACTTCCTGCACAAGTTCTCGTGGACAGTGCAGGAGGCGAAGGGTTGGTTGAGGGAGACCGGCCGTTCTGTGTTGCCCACGGCTGTTGCCGGGCTTCTTGGCAGAGCACTATAGATGTATAGATGGCACAGGATAATTGATAAATGGTTGAGGCGGCAGATAGACTTTGCAAGTTTAAGTGTTGATTCAGGTTTGTAACTTTATGAAGCTGTCGTGAGCGAAGGTGTGCTGCAGTGCGATGGGCATGCTACATGACAGCGTAAAGTACTGATCCAACTCATTGGTGTTTCGGCTCACTGCTGCCCATTGAACTGACACGACGTGTATGTTTTCCCAACTTGGGGAACCAATGAGTTGAAAGAAACGCATGGCAGCTTAGACCGGGCAACTGCCAGGTACACATCGGCCCGAAGAGTTTCCAGGATTGGGCGAGCTTTGCAAGCCCAAGGGCATCCAACTGGTTACCTGGTTTGCCATTTGCTTCGTAGTCAAATGGATCACTTTGGGTCAATCGGCATCCCCCACGGCCTACGACCACTTGTCTATGGTCAAATATTGGGAGAAGACTCATTCTCAGAGCCAGATGCAATTACTCTTCCACCGATGCTGATTATAGTGTAGCAACCTGCAGGGCGTCCAGAGTTCAAAACCAAGTCTGACTTCAAGGGCAGCCACCGGTGGCACAGTCACCTGACAGGTCCTGGACATCTTGATTGCTTGAGTTTGGACGCTGTCTCCAGTCCACTTGGGAAGACCCGTGTTGGGGGTGGTAATGGAAAGTGGAAACAATTCGATCAGCCACGTGCAGGGTCCAAGCTTGCTTTCACTCCTGGGTGGCAGGAGCCAGAGGACAGCGTGCCGGAATCTGAGCAGGGCTATCGTTGTGGCCCGAGCGGAGAATGATGCTTTTTGGTTGGAACACCCACCGAAATTGTTGGTGGACCTAGATCCCGCCCGTGGATGGACAATCCACCTCGCACCAGTTGGGCCTTAGTTATCATAGGGTTTCATCCAGCCCTTTTTTGCCGTCCACTGTATGCAACTGATATCCAAACGGTCTCAAGAAAAAAACATACCTGAGCTGGCCATGCTTTTTTGGGTGAACAGCAACACAATTCTTGGGTGCCCTCAGCACGGTCTTAACAAAGCCCAAAGCGGTCCATGTTCCAGCCAAAGTGAATTCTGGGACCGCACGAAGGGGATCCCGGATTGCAAGATGCCAGATGAACGACTTATCGAGGCGAGGTACACTTAACCTATAGAAGTGAGGTTCATTGCAAGGATAACTTTTGGCCGCTCAAAAATGAAATGACGACATCTCAGTTGGAAGAGGGACTCTCTGGTCCTCAAACCCAGACCTGTCCCGGCGCGCGAAATTCTGATTGGCCCTTGGTACCTCGAAGGTCAAAGCTGGCGAAAGATTCTTAGCTCTTGTCTGGAGAGACTGCGACCATGTTCGTGTGAAGGGGACCAACAGCAAATTGCCGGGGTGGACTCAGCTTTCTGTGTTATCTCTGAAAAATGCCACCACTCACCACGCTCCTGACTCGCTTATGCATGGGGCTATTTTGGGTCTTTTAATAGTCCATGGGAATTGTACATAGGATGTCCCCGCCGCTAATCTCCAATACAACTGGCCCAGAGCATGCTGCCAGCACATTCAACGATTCAACACGATGTCAACTGGTTGGAAGCTGATACAAGCCGTTCGGGATCTTTGAGGGGGGGTGTTGTGAGCGGGGCGTGCAAAGTCGCCCCCGTGAGGGATAGCGCTGCCACCCCCATCGAGAAGCTGAGCCGGCAGTGCAGCTGGATGCGGACGACTCAGAGGGGTCGACTGGCAAGCTTTGACCACAAGTATCCACCCGCCCACAGCAAGGGCGTCAAATTAGGCTTTGGCTCGCTACAGTATGCAGGATGCACTGCAGAAAATGAAACACAACAAGGAATAACAACTGCGATGTCTTTTGCGAAAGCGTCCGACATGCTTGGCCGCTGCAGAGAGAGACCGGGCAACACAGGGACAGAGATGTTCGTCAAAACATATGTTATTAATGCAAGTGACACACGTGAGTCGATCAGATTGCTACAGCTCGAATTAAGCTTGTTTGAGCTACCTCTAGACTCTAGAGTATTCCAAAGGTTCAATACACGGATTTGGTGCCGTATTCCTTGAGAAGCCATTTGGGTGTCTTTGTTGAGGGTACCCCTTTTTTTGTGGTTTTAAAGGGAAACCAAAAGGGACACCCACCCATTTGGGGGGTCCCCTACCAGAAAGACACCCCTATCTGGGCTCAAAGCGGGATTTTGCAGACTCCTGTCTTGCTCTCTGGATTTCCGATGGATTCCACATAACTCGCTGTGCTTAGGAGCCGCAGCCCCTCTACAACGAGGATGAGTCCTGAGCTGTCAAGGGCTCAGATCCGTTCCACATACATGTGTAAGGCTCACATTCTCTTCAGCCATCTTTTTTTGGGGAAACCACCGATTCTTGTGAATTTTGGGCCATGTTCTGAACAGAAGGATACCTGAAGAGAATGAGGCAAGGCTAGCTTTCCACCAAAAGTCTCCAATTCCAAAGACCATGACCGGGTAACATTTTTGGTGCAAGCGGCACTGTGTTGGACCAGCCAAGTGGGCTTTCGCTGTAGCCGATAAGGACAAAGTCCGCCTCTCGGAGCAGCGGCTTGACTTTGGAGAAGTTTGGGGAGACGGAGGAGGCGGGAGAAGTCGAAGCTCTGCTAGGCAAAGACTTTAGGGTTGGTTATGGCTCATGCCGGTGTCAGGTGGTGGCAGTTGGTGATTTGGCTAGTTTCAGATTTGCTTGAGGTCCCAAACTCCTAAAACCAAGTCAGTACTTGCAGGATGTGAATTTTCACGACTGACTCATTGTATCTCAGTGGACCTGCCCTTGTGCAACTGCGGCGTGTGAGCGCATTGATGTTCTGAAGGTGACAGCATTGGCAAATTGGTGGGATAGGCCTCATATATGGATGTCCAATGGGCAGACCAGCCTTGGCAAGCAAAGTTAAAGAGCTTTGTCTGGCTGGACAAGATCAACGCATAGCCATATCTCAGCGTTGTAAGAGCCTGGATTGGCCACTGCAATCAATCACTGCTGGTAGGCAAGCGCGCTTGTACACTAGCTTCGATCTTTGAACACGCACGGACTTAACAACCACTCTGAGTTGTGTGTCCTTTGTCATTGAGTCATGTTGAGAGGTGAAATTTGTCTGGTCTTTTACCCCCTACTGCTACCACGATGCTGCGCTGCTTCTGCTTCTGCTGCTGCTGCTGCCGCTGCTGCTGCTGCTGCTGCTGCTGCTAGCACCAACACCCACTCCAGAATCCTTGGGCATTATTTCATCCTGATGTAGGATCGACTGTCAGGAAGAGTTTGAGTGTGAACTCGCATGTAACTAGGCACAATCGGCTTTACACATTGCTTTAAAGTGCGGGGATCATTTTTCAGCAGCCGACCATCCCGTAAAAGTTGCCACCAGCTGTTCCTTTCCAACATGTAGGGTTTGTCTGAAAATAAGGGAAGTTCATAATGGCTGTGCCCCTTTTGGTTTCCCCTTGAACCAATCCACGAAAGGGGTTCCCCCAAAAAGGAGCACGCCCATGTATCAAGCTCTCGTTGTGATGGCCCGCCCGCTCAGCAGCCGACCCGCGAGCGTTATTGCTCCTGCATCCTCCTCTACGCTGTCAAGGCACGTTGGGGCCTCTCACTCGTTGCTTGTCGAGTGCACCGGGCAAGAGCGTGACGGACTGGTGAGTTGACCCAATTCGCTCGTGGTGACTTGCAGTCATTTGCGCTCTGCCCGACATGAGCTGACACTTGCGGCAAGGAGGGCGTCTTAGTGCACTTTGCGGACGACTTGGAAAGTTGTGAGGAGGCGCATTGAGTTGATGCAGAGGGCTCGTGCTGAGCTAGAGTGTGGCACCTGCCGGTCTCTGTGCTCTAGTTGATCCCATGATGTTCCTGCAGGTCGTGCGATCTGTGCAGTTTCGCTACAGGGACGCCAATCTGAAGGACTGGTGGGTCGGTGGTTGAGGCACACCTTATCTCAAATCTTGCGCTGGAAGCTACATGAAGTGGCAAGAGCAACTGAAGCTCCAGAGTAGTCTTCGCAATTTTTGCAAAAGATGGGTATGCTACAGATCAATCCAATGCGCAATGTAAGAGTGCAAGCCAACAGTTGATTGTTGGTGCAACGTTGCTGACAGAGCCACAGTGTAACCTGCACTACTTTGACATGAGCAACGCGGCCACGTCTTTCGTTTCTTACGAGGCAAGCCTTTGATCGACGCATGTCCATGGACCTGTCCACTTGTCTGAAGCAGCCAAAATGATGTCCAATGGCTCGAAGGGTTTGTTTTCATCTGATTGAGGCATTCGATAGGTTTGCCCGATCCTTGGCTAGGACTCTGCCAATCCTCATCCGGAGGCTGGAGCTTTGCCATCGCTTTGAAAGCACGGGGGCAGACGCCAGCCTTTTTTCTCTTTAGGGTTCCTTCATGTTCCCTTTGAGCCAGACAGTTGAGTAAAACTTGTGGGGTTCCATGTCATGAAGGTGATCATCATTACCCCTTGTTTATGGGCAGAACCCACATGTGTCCAGGCGAGAAGGACTGGCCAATGTCCAGTCACCAAGCTGCAAAGCTCATGTGTTTGATCTGCCTAAATGTGATGGACAAGTGCAATCAAAGACACCCTTTGAGATGCATACATTCTCTTATGCTCTAGGCAATCCAATTCATCTTCGGGATGCAATGCTGTGAGTGATTCCAGGCCACCGCGCGAAATTGATGCCAGTCCCTTGCCTTTGGTGAGCATTTCTGGAAGCTCGCGCGATTCCGCGAGCTCTGTGTTGCTTTCTCGTGTTTGTGCTGAAGGTCCCCGTTTCTCCTTGAATTGTTCGCCTCCAATTGCATGGCTTACTCGAGACTTGGACGGTAGAATGCTACGGAGCCCTTTTTTCCCCCCAATGTATATATCTATGTTATGTTTACACTGGGAGCGGGTTGCCTCCGGCTAACCCTCAAAACTACACTCATAAGGCAGCATTTGGTGAAACCCCCCCCCCGCCCGTTCATGCCAGCAACGAGTTTTGATTGGACGCCAGGTGAAGGTGTGCCGAGTGAATGTGGGCGGTGCCCCATCAGTGGCTGGGCGCTTGCTGACCACCACACTGCAGGGGGACCTGCAGAGGCAATTCAAGGCTGGGGGTTGGATATGGAATTCATAAGACAGCAACACGTCATTCCGATTCAAAACAAGGGCGCCACCGAGAATGACGGTTGTCAATTTGGTTTCCCTTATGTCAACCTGAAGTCCTTCCGAGCATGCCCCCCCAAGCAAACCTTGCCCAAACCACTGAGGCCTTACCGAGCCATCCATGCAGAGGGTCCCTTGGGCTTGAGGTCCCATAAAAAGAGCGCCCAAGGTTGGCGCCGGATTGTGAGCTTCCCAAAGGGGAACAACATGGGTCTGTCCAAAATTGGACCCCCAGAAACGGCCAGATATGCTGGATTTCATGCTTCTTTCAACATTTCATGGGTTTATATACGTTTTTTTTGAACCCATTCATGGCTTATTTCATGGCTGGGTCGAGTCCACTTCCGTGGAAGATGAAGGGAGAACCAAAGGGGACGCGTCCGAGTCGCCAGATCGCCGCATCTGTGGAGCAGCAGAAGGACTGCACGAACTGCCGCGCTCCTGGACCAGCTCCACCATGGGACATCCTCAACGCTCCCCGGAACATTTAAACGTGTATGATATGAAGTACCGTCAAAATTACTTCTATTGAGTTTAGTGTTCGGTGTTTCATTGATATTTGTGAACATACACAAAACCATGGCAAACGATAGGGGACTCTTAAAACAACATCCCTGGACAAGGATGGAAACGCTGGAAAACGATACGGGACTCTCAAACTAAGTAGCGAAACGGCCGTAAGTAAGTAATTTTGACCGTGTCTCACATGTATTATATGAACATTGTATATAGTACATACTCTATTACAGACAATGTTCATATACGGCTGTTGAGATATAGATGTGCGCGTTTATGATATCTTCCTCTCGCCCGATGGATCAATGTGTTGCCTTGGTTCTATAGTCAAGTTTGACCTGAGATGGACATGTACAAGAGATTCCTGCACTATTGTTGAGCGATGCGCTTTCCAGTTTGGGAAGACATCCTGCACAAACTCCAAATGTCTGACGGATGTCCATGAAGCGAGCTGGACGTTGGATAGAATTCCAATTGAGATGTGGTTATAGGCTTGTCTTCGGCATTTGAAAATCAAGAATGATCCGAACAAGCTGATCTTTGGCAGATTGTTCTTGCGATAGCCTTTGCAATTGTGCAGGACTTCTACTAGAGCCTGAGAAGCTGAAGAATTCAACATCATTCAGAGATATTCAGAGTTGAATCATGTTTTCCTGTCTATCACACTCATAGTTTGTCTTGAGAGGACTAATGTGGTTGATCATTCCGTTCCGGGCAGAAAGCACGGCTCGAATTTCACATTCCGAATCTGCAAGGCGGATTTGAGAGTCAAAGTTTGTTTGCCCGAGGTGTCACCTTCAGCATGCGCGTGATCAAGGCTTGGTGCTGCCTGGTTGCCGGATGTCTTTTTGCAAATCACCATGTCAGGCAGGCATCAACCTGATCTCCTGCTTCTTGGAGACACCAGTCTTTGGCGCGTTACCCATTTGAAGCATTACTTGCTTCATGACCAGTTGGGTTGTTCAAAGAAACAAGTTTCTTCAGTTCCTGCACATGCTTGGTTGGATTGCGTGCCTTGCATTGCCCCCTTGGGAAATGCGCCAAAGGGCCCATAGATGTATTTATGCCTGACTGGCTTCATGCAACAAACTACCAGAAATCACCTTACCCTCACTTGCTGGCTTGGATTGGCGATTTGGGGATATGAACCTTTTCTTGTAGAGGGTAAATAGGGAAAAGACCCCGGAACACCAAACCACCAATCCAACCAACTTAGAGGGAGGCCAATCAGAGGGAAGATGTTTTTTGGGTGGCTGTTGCGCTAAAATCCAGAAACAAGCAAAATTGCGTCTCTCGCAACTTGCGCAGGGCTTCCAGATGGCCCTCAGAGGCTTTGACGTCGTTAAGGCGGGCTGGCGTGCGAGATCAGCGGACGAATGGTAATGCCATATGGTGGTTTGCCTTTTGGTGTCCCTTCAAAGCCACCGGAAACGGGGAACCAACTTCGCAAAAAGACGAGCCACACATATTGTAACACGCTGTTGGTCAAAATGCAGGGCCAAAACCGAAGATCAATTCTGCAATGCGTTCCCTGCTTGTGTGGAGGGAGCTCGCAAGACAGATCTTTTTGTTTCTTTGTTGACTGGTTTCTTCATCAGGTTTCATGTGAGTGCCAGCCAAGTGCCCTTTGGTCATGTATCTCCTGCGTGGGTGCCTGGACCCAGGCAGAAAGCTAGCCTGACTTGATTTACAGGTCGGAACACGGCAGTGGCAAGTTTCTGTCAGCCTCCAAATTCAGGATTCTTCCGAATCGTGTGTGTGTGTGTGCGGAGTGGCAGAATACCCTGCCACCACAATTTCTTACGCAGGGGGCTGGAGCCGGCCCGGGGGGTCTCCAGCCAACGAAGACGCCCCCCGGTGTCCGGGTCCAAACGTACCTGCGGGGCTGCGCCTGGGCCATTGTCATGGCAGCTGGCGGGCCCACCCCAAACAAAGGTCCCCCTTTTTGCCCTTTTCTCCAAAACCAGCTGAACCCCAGCTGTACTCGAGACTCACCAGTTGTACTCGATCGATGAGAGACTTATCAGTTGTACTCGAGACTCATCAGTTGTACTCGAGACTCATCAGTTGTACTCGAAAGATTAGCACCCTCCATCTGGAGTTCAAGTGTGAACACCCCATTCTTGCGGGTGTACCCATCGTGTGACCCCGGGCCGGTTCGCCGGAAAATTTGACCTCAACGTTCTTATCATAGACCAGCGGAATTTCACGTTTAAGCAGGAACGAGGTTTCACTAAAGGGAAGACAGCCATCAGATCATAGTGACGTCTCACAGACGCTAGGGCGCCGCTTGCTGATCTTTTCATGCGTTGCCTTATGTTGATTTGTACTTGGCATGATCTTGCGTTGTCATGGAATTGTAGCTTGTTGGTCTTAGTCTTTCTCACGGTTGATTTGTGCTATTACCTGGTTCGTCATGTCTCGACGAGATGATCGTGGCAGATCTAGAACTCGGCGCAGACGGGATCGTCTTGTGAGTTGCTTGTCTCATCTTGTCTTGTGAGTTGCTTGTCACTTATTGTCTCTTGAATGCATGTCGCCGCCACCTTGCAGCTATCCTTAGATATTCACCATGTGGACTGAACTTCGACACAGTGGGATATTTGAGGACGTTGCACAATGGCATTCCTTGGCTACCTTTCTGGACACGTTAACGCTTTTCTCTGCGTGTTGGCAGTACTGCCTGGACTTCTACCACCATCAGTTCCATTGGATGAGTGTGAGTCAATTCAGCATTTACCTCAGTTGGACCTCATCCTTGAAGCGCTCACCATGGTTCAGATTGCACTTCAAATTCCGATTCATTCCATGTCGCGCTCCCGTCACACTGTGGCCAACAGGTATGAGCTTCACAGATGTCGGATCACTTCGTATTTGCTTTTTACAGCGACTCATTTCACAAAAATCATGGGTACATTCCGCCGTTCTTCGATGTCCTTCACTTCTGTAGTCATGCACTCCACCTTTGCGGATATGAAGCACCTTCGATCCCTACGGACTCGCTTCCCGGACCTGTATGACTTCATTCAGTTGAGGAGCTGAGCGTGTGATCTTCTGGCAGAGCAAAAAGAGACTTTTCGCCCCTCACAAAGGGACGTGTGTGTGTGCGGAGTGGCAGAATACCCTACCACCACAATTTCTTACGCAGGGGGATGGCTTGTCTTGTGAGTTGCTTGTCTCATCTTGTCTTGTGAGTTGCTTGTCACTTATGTCTCTTGAATGCATGTCGCCGCCACCTTGCAGCTATCCTTTGATATTCACCATGTGGACTGAACTTCGACACAGTGGGATATTTGAGGACGTTGCGCAATGGCATTCCTTGGCTACCTTTCTGGACACGTTGACGTTTTCTCTGCGTGTTGGCAGCACAACTTTCCTGGACTTCTACCACCATCAGTTCCAATGGATGAGTATGAGTCAATTCAGCATTTACCTCAGTTGGACCTCATCCTTGAAGTGCTCACCATGGTTCGGATTGCACTTCAAATTCCGATGCATTCCATGTCGCGCTCCCGTTACACTGTGGCCAACAGGTATGAGCTTCACAGATGTCGGATCACTTCGTATTTGCTTTTTACAGCGACTCATTTCACAAAATCATGGGTGCATTCCGCCGTTCTTCGAGGTTCTTCACTTCTACAAGACGTCATCGCTGTGTGAAGTCATGCACTCCACCTTCGCGGATATGAAGCACCTTCGATCCCTACGGACTCGCTTCCCGGACCTGTATGACTTCATTCAGTTGAGGAGCTGAGCATGTGATCTTCCGGCAGAGAAAAAGAGACTTTTCGCCCCTCACAGAGGGGCGTGTGTGTGTGCGGAGTGGCAGAATACCCTGCCACCACAATTTCTTACGCAGGGGGCTGGAGCCGGCCCGGGGGGTCTTCAGCCAACGAAGACGCCCCCCGGTGTCCGGGTCCAAACGTACCTGCGGGGCTGCGCCTGGGCCATTGTCATGGCAGCTGGCGGGCCCACCCCAAACAAAGGTCCCCCTTTTTGCCCTTTTCTCCAAAACCAGCTGAACCCAGCTGTACTCGAGACTCACCAGTTGTACTCGAACGATGGGAGACTTATCAGTTGTACTCGAGACTCATCAGTTGTACTCGAGACTCATCAGTTGTACTCGAAAGATTAGCGCCCTCCATCTGGAGTGTCAGTGTGTGTGCGCATGTGTTGTGCCAGTCTTGGCATCTTGTATCTCCTGCCGGCTAGTCGTTCACGGGCATCATGGTTATGAGGGCGCAGTTCATTCTTGTTGATTCTGGCACCTTTGGCCACGGAGCTGGCGTCCATTACCAGTACCTTGATTTGCATGTAAGCCCCGCTGAAGTGTTTGATCAGCTTCCAAGAATCTTCTCCAGTGGCCTTCGAAAAGCAGCTCATCCAGTTGTTCATTGTTGCAACTTCCATTGACTCCCTGCCACGATAGCAACATAATGAACGATAACATCCTTGGCAAAGTGCACACGCGAAAAGCTTTGTGTGCCTTTTTTAGGGGACCCCAACATGTTTTGTGTTTTTTTTCTTTCGGTTTCCCTTTGAAAACCATGAACAAGGCAACTGCCGGCTCCAAAGGAGAAGACCTCCAACTGCACCGAGGGTTGCAACGCCCAGGCCTGTGAGTCCACTCCCTTTCTCGGGCCAAAGCCTCAAAGCCAAGCGGAGCGGGCGACGGCAGAAAACGAATCGACAGGATCTGACCGGATCTGACCTTTTCCAGTACCCGGGTCCCAACCCTTTTTTCGGACATGGATCTGGGGCATTGGAAAAAGGCGCTGGTTGCGGGTGCTGGTTGGTTTTCCGGTTTTGGCCCATACCCGAATACAAGGTGATCATGCCCGAAGGTTAGGTGGCCAAGGTCACGAAAGGTTGACCTTTTTTTTCTCAGGTCCCTTGGGCCGCTCAGGATGGCTCCAAGGTGTTTTTGTACCCAGGGCTTGTTCCAAGGGAACCACGGGAAGCCCTAAGTCCAAGGGATCCAAACTGGGCATGGCAGGATGAAATGTGAAAGGAAGCTCGTTCAGTGGCGTTGCTTTTTAGCAGAATAGGTCCCAGGTGTAGTTTGTATGTTAAGTGGGTGCATGGATGACTGGTCCAGGCATCCTCTCATGGATTCTGACAAAGGCCACCTGAACAAGAAGCTCTGCAATGAAGCTTTGCTATGAAGTAAGGGTGGTGCACAGCACAGTGAAGTCTTGTTTAAACTCTATGTTTCACTCTGCCCCCTAAAGGTTACCCCTCGGAAGAACATGTTGCCGGTGCTTCTTTTTTGGAATGTAGTCATCCACTCTGAGTTGGGGGGCAGAGGGGCAGGGTCCATTCTGCACGCTTCTTTGACGCCCATAGGCAAGCGCTGTCAGAGATTAAAGTTCGGGGAAATAGATGCAGCCACAAGTGTGGCCATTCACCCGTTACGCTTAGGGGGGGCCCGTGACTTCAATGTCCAATTCGGACTGGCAAGCCACAAGTGGGGGAGGGGAGTACCTCAATTTCAGAGACCACCTTTGACAACAAGTTCGAACCATCCGTGAACATTGCCAACTTACAGCAAGAAGTGAGGAAGCATAACTACAGCAGTTATTTGGGCAAATCGTAGCAACACCGTAAGGAAGTTTGCGGAACATTGCTCATAAAGCATACTCTTTTTTGGGTTGGTTTGGACAACCAAACGGAAAACCTTCAAGACGAGCCATGCGGCTGTTCTGAGCTTAAGGCGCCGCTCCGGGGACGTCTCCGGGGAAGCCTGGGAGCATCGCCGGCATCCATTGGCGAGACACCCCCTCCCTTTGAGCCAGATCAGACGAATGCTGACGCCGGATTTGTTTCAATTGGCAAGATGTATTTTATTTATTGGTTGTATGTGTGTAAGTTGTATATGTTGATGTTATCTTTTTTGTTTTACTTATGTGTTTATGTGTTATTATTATTTTTAGTTGTTTATGTCATTTATGTATGGTTTGAGTTTTTAAAATTAGTTACGGGGTTATTTATTTACGTGTTTAGTTAGTTAATTGATTTATTTTGTTTGTATTGTATTTATTTGTTGATTGTTCTTATCGATTTCTGTTTTTTGTTTTTTTTTCCCCCCCCCCGATTATTTTGTGTTTGTTGTTTTTCCCCCAGGAGTACCAGGTTTTGCTCAGAGTCATGCTAGTGAGCAAGCCAGAGGGAAACTGCATGTTTTGGGCTTCCCCATTTGGAGAGCCGAAGGTCCTTGGTCAGCTTGGATGTGGTCACCACTTGGCTCCCCACTGCACTTGGAAATAGCAATGTTCCCTGGTGGCGAGGTTTTGACCAGCCATCTCGTGGAAAGGTTTTGTTTCGCGGAATGCGTGAGAGAGAGAGAGAGAGGCACATGTTGCGAGTGTGCAAGCTGGATCCAGGAGGTTTGCCATGTGGGTGTGTGGTTTGTTGAGAATACTCTTTTCCGTGGTTTACTATTTTTGGGGTCCCCAAAAAACAGACACACCCATGTAGCGAGCAAATTCAAAAGGGCTGCCCTAAGGGCAAAAAGAGCATGATAAAGGTCCCATTGGGGGATTCCCATATTTCTAATTCGGAAATAGTAGCTCAGATGCGAATCCCTATCAATACTGGGATGGCACCTAACAACTCGTGCAGGAGTTTGTCCGTCCAAAGTGTTAAACAAGGCATTTCAAGAGTCGAGAGCTACGTGCCCACCATGACGACGCATAGCAATGCATTTTCAGCACTTCTGCAGAGGTTGAACTAAACTGCACAGTTTGCAGTCGTGCAATGAGGAATGTTTTGGACACCTTTTCAAGATGCAAGATGAGCATGCCCAGCCCAAGCAATTCAAGCTCATGCAGAACAACCCCTTGATTTGGAGAGGGTGGCCGCAAGCAACAGTGTTTAAACGTAGTTGTTCATAGCAGCGTCTCAACAATTCACCATTCATCAACCCACATTTGGCAATTGGCTCCCTGCGATGGCTTGTTCTGACTGAATCGACTGGGCTCCACTGCGCGTGAAACCCTGCCTGGCGCTGCAATAGTTTCTGCCAGGCGCCTGTGGCATCGAGTTTGACAGGCCAGGAATGGTCATGCTGAGACATCTCATGAGGAGTCGAGCCATGGCAGCCCCATCAAGGCAAATGAGAACTTACCGCAATGTTGCATGCAAAGGTGTTGGCGTAGTTACCAGATCGGACGAGTTCACGGGGCACAGTTTTTGGCCTTCCTAGAGATGGAATTTCGCGGTGTTTGCATATGGCACCTTTGAACCTGGCAAGAGTGATGGTCGTAGATGGAGCTGTAGACCAGTGTAGTTGCGAAGCCCGTTGGAATTAGATTTTGAGCAAGTTGGATGATTTGGTGCTGCAAACGGCAAGGAACAGTGATTATCGTTTATTCCCACAGCGCGTTTGATTTTGCGGGTGGCTTGGAGCGATGTGTAGGTGAGTCGGAATAGAAAGCTGGCGCACTTGTGGTTCGTTTCCTATCCAGAGGTGAGATGAAGTGCCCATGATTGCTCCCTTGCCGCCAGCAGCGTATGGCTTGCTTTTCTCAGAGTGGTTGACACTTCACAACTTGAAGTGTCCCTCAGAGTCTACAACACGGTGGGACTCCTGGCTCTGTGGCATACCCATCTCACCAGAGTTGTTCAGTTTCAGCAGAATTGAAGGCAAAGGACAACCAAGGAGTTCAACACTTGCACTTGCCAGCTGTTCGAAGCCATAACATTCTTGGACTTCAGCGTCGCAAGCAATCTCACGATGCGGTGACAATCTAATCTAGATTCAACATGTTCCAGTACCTGCCTTTTGCAGCACGAAGAAGCGTGTGCGAAGGAGGAAGAATGCCTCACTCAATGGTTGCCTCCCAGAGACCTGGGTTGCCAGGGCACCATTGGTACAGATCCATTTGGGTGTGTGTTAAAATACTGGACTCCCAAACCGGTGGCGACAACTGGGGTTTTAATGAAAGTCACCTGAAAAAGAGGCCCCTCACAAAACACATGCACCGTTTCGGCCCGGCCAGGAACCCACGGCATCTCAGCTATCCTGGTGAAATTGTCTTTGGATGGAAGAGGATGATGGTGGTTCTCGTTTTCTATTGAGTCACTTTGACCTGCAAAGTCATGGGATAACCCCAGGCTTCTTTGCATGTGACATCATATTTGTGTCTCACCCCTAGCTCGCTCAAGGTGTACTAGGTCGTCTTTCACCCCGACAAACAGAAAGCGCTTGAGCGGCACGTTGAGCGTTGACCAGAGTTGCTGTGGCATGCCTAGTGACGTTTAGCCTTCCTTGAATTATACTGCAAGCCTTCATTTGCTTGTTCAGGCATTTGGGCCACCCTTTCAATGCTAAATGATGTTTTTGCATGGATGAGCGCACGTTTGCCTTGGAACGGCCACGATTTGCTCAAATGGCCCTGGCGCATTTCGGCTAGCACTGGGCATGGCCGGGCGATAAAGACTGTCAGCCAGGCCAAGGCGCATTTGCCGGGGCTAAGGAGCAGCTTTGTCCATGTGTGTTTGTGTCTGTGTGTGTGTGTGTGTGTGTGTGGGGGTTTCATCTTGGTGCAAAGGAACCCAAAGCAACATCCTCCCTTTTCCAACCCATACCCATGTCACTGGCTCAGAACTTTTTGTACCAGATTTAGGGCTCATTTCTATAGGTGCTGGATTGCCTGAGGTTTCTGCGTTTGTTTCGAGGAAGTCATGATGGCCCTGTGAATTCGATCAGTCAGAATACGCATGAATACTGTCGGTTGTTTGGACGAGTGCTGACCCAGATGTGTGCCGTGAAGATGCTGTGAATTGCCAATGACCAGGATCCAGCCAGGTATTTCATTGCAGGGCCCGCAGCCATGCTACATGTGCATGTCGGTTTGTCTGCGAGCGCTTTGATGACATGGCTCTCACTCTCCAGACCATTCCCCAACTATGAGAGGAACATTTGATGCAGGCTGCTTCTTCTGAGTCACGAAAACAAAAGTCAGATGCATTCAGACTGTTTGCTCACTCTACCTCGGAGTTCAGCGAACGTGTACTCCCTGAGTTTCCGAAGGCTTTCACTCTGGTACTGTGGTGATTGTGTATTTGCCATTAGGCACGGATCGGCATTGGCAAGCTCTGGGTTGGGGGAAGGGTAAAACGTACTGTCGGTGAATTGTGCTAGAATTATGCTCCATTGCAATGTTTGCCACAAGTGCGCCAAAAGCGCAGCATCGCTTGCTGCTTGGATGCTCACCAAGCCAGGGTTGCGTGGAAATCAGACTGGAAATGAGTCAAGGCTTCTGTCACTGTTTTGGCCGACAAAGCAAAAAGGTTGGGACGCCCGTTTGGGGCGAAAGACACTTTGATTTGAAGGAGTTCATGTGGCATTGGGCAACACGTCCCATGTAGCTGTGCCCCGAACGTGGTGACACGTGTTCAGGTGCCAGCATGGGCACAGAGGCGCTCTGGGAGGGCCAACAAGAACTATTGCAAGGGTTGCTCGGTCATATTTCCACTTTTGGGCTTCAACAAGTTGTCGCAACTTGCTATTTGTCCTTTTGGATCCAAGCGTTGCAGTTTCATTGGAATCCACCAGAGAGCCCTGTGTTGTGGAAGACAACGAGCACATCTCCCGGAGTTTAAGCTTTGGATTCGAACCAGGCTGCCTAGCACTTCCTATGAGATGTTCGGCAAAAGCATGTTCGCCTTGTACCACTTTCGTCAATGCAATCTGCTTGTGAGCCAATGATTGACTGGCACGGGGTGTTGAAAAAATGCCCGAAGATCCTGTGAATGATACTTCTGTTTGGGCTCAGTGATGCTTTAAGACTACACAGTACCTTGCCTTGTGCCCAGGATGTAGGTGTTTCGTTTGTGCTTGGGGATGTACGCCCTGGACGGGTCCTGGAGACCTTGAAGCGCCACTTGGCTTTCCCAATTTTGCTGCAGGTTTCTTTGTTCCCTTGTCATAGGCTCAATTCAGTCTGGCTCAATTCTAGCTAGACGCATCAACTAGGTTGACGAGAGCTGGAGCAAATCTGCAACCTGCTAGTCCTTCATGTAGTTGATGTTGACTCCGCATCGATAAACTTACACAGCGCGGATGTTTCTCCCAAAGTGCATGAAACCCCTCTTGAATAGGAACGCCTCTACAATTAAGCTACCAGGGGTAACAAACGGTTTCCATTGTCGATGGCTTATTTCTTCTAGTTTGGCACCAACTCTAGGTCCCAGGCTCCGAACGCCTTGTGCCATCGTTCGCCGCTTCTGACGGTGATACTCAAACCGCATAGACCGGGAGCTAAGGAGCCCAACTCAATTGCCACCAAGTTCACGCCGTGCACTGCCATGGTTTGCAGGAACCAGGTCGCCTTCTTTTTGTTTGCTTTGTTTTTGCGCGCCATCTCCCGGCAGACGGACGCGCGGCCCCAGACGGCCGATCCACCTGAGCCACAGCGCAGCCCAAAGCATGGGGCCCCGGACGTATCGATCAGATGTTGTTTCGGGTTCTGTAGCGAACCGCTTGAATGGCCAAGGTTGAAGAACCAAAAGGATGGTTGTGTTCTTGCCCCTAAGTGGGGCGAGGCGATGGGCATGGATAGAGGTCCTGTTTCGCATGTGTTGTCGTGTTTGGGTGGTTCAGACAGCAAACCTAATGTATAGTTTGCAAATTATGCGGTGGTTCAGTCATGTGCTCGAATCATCAGGGTGCGCAAGCCGAGTTGCAACCTGGCAGCGAGTTGATCGACAAAGACAGAGCTTTCTTAGTAATTATTGTAAACGCTTCGCGCTGCCCGCCTCGGCTAGAACTATTTCGGTTGGCTTTGAAGTACTGTATTTTGGTTTGCCTGAAGTGCTGTGTTTTTTGGAGTGAGTGAGTGAGTGAGTGAGTGGGTGGGTGGGTGGGTGGGTGGGTGGGTGGGTGGGTGGGTGGGTGAGTGAGTGAGTGAGTGAGTGAGTGAGTGAGTGAGTGAGTAATGCGTGAGCTGGTTTTCCGGATATGTGGTGGGTGCATGCTCGCGCGTTTCCACATGGCTTCAATGCAAGAGCTAGAACCCTCAACCAGCCAGTTATGGGCACCTTGAGTGCCGAGCTAGTCTAAGGCAGGACAGAGCCAGTCCAAAGGGCAAGGGGCCGGGGTACCCGTCAGGGCGCTTCATTGAGGCAATTGGATCACGGGCTGGGCCATGGATTTGAAGAAGGATTTATCGGGGCTGGGCTGAACTGGGTTGCTTGGGCTGGCCTCCCAGCCACCCCAGAGGCTGAGGCAGCTGGAGCATTTGGGCTGCGACATGGGTTGTGGGGAGTCAGAGTGGGGAATGAACAAGCGGCAAGCGGCGCTTCTTTTCAGCCTTTGCAACGAGAGGCAATCAAAATGAGCAGCTCAGCTGGAGATCTGCAAGAGCAATTGTGCATTGTAGAGCAGTTGCCACCTGTTGTTGTGTTTGACGCTTGGCACATGCTGCGCGTAGAGGCTGCTTCATCACGGTAGGCTGCGCAACCTCAGTTCCGTGTGCGCAACTTATACCAACCTCACAGACTTGGGTTTTACGACCGCTTTCGTGATGAAGGTGCTTTCTTTGGGGTTCCCTCATGTCACTTTCTTCAGGTCGGTGAATGAATTCAAGCCACGACCGAGCTTGAAAGATTGCCTGGGCTCGACGGCATTGCTGATCGCGGCTAGACCTGTCCCTCACTCGCTGTTTCTTTCTCTTCATCCACGCTTCCCGCGACAGACGAGAGCGGGTAAAGGATGGTCAGACATTCTCATTCCCTTCAAGCCCCAACAATTAAGCGGAGAGAAGGGAGCTGGTGAGAGTGGGAAGAGATGCATAAAGTTGACTCTCATTCCAAGTCCCTTCATTTAGTATTTATTCTTGGGATTTGGAGTCATCTTTCATCTCTTCCTCCATCTCTATTACTCGCCAATAGATCAGACGTAAGCAATGGGATAGTGGGTGAGTGATTAAGAGATGGCCCTTCCTCTCTCTCTTTATCATTCCTTTCCTACATTTCTCTCGCTCTCCAGAAATTCATTGACCAGCGAAGAGAGGAGCGGATGATGGGAGAGAGAAGAGATGGCCACAGTCTCTCCCCTCGTTTCTTCGTCAGTCCGGTCGATCCTGATGGGCAAAAGAGAAGGTGATGAGTTGCATTTGTGAGGTGTTATTATTCGCGGCTCTTGGTCACCCACGGCACAGAGAGACAAGACATGCGGTGGAAACCAAGTCATTCTTCTCTGAAACATGAGGCCTATTGGAACCTGCCCTAGTTTGTTTGCGGGGTCCAAGCCGAAACCTCATGCGGGGTGGCTTCTACCATGTGTGGTGTTTCTTGGGTGAGGTTTGTTGACGCACCTCAAGTGAAAGTGAGCCTTGGAATGAGGTGCCTCAGCATTTCTCAATTTTGAGTGGCGACACTTTCTGGAGAACTTGTGAGTAAAGCCAAAGTCCGAAAAGGGTCCCTGAAACATGCCGCATCCAAAGGGATACTAGGATACCAGTCAGAGAATATAACACAATGTCGAAACAGCACCTTGTATGACCTGGCTTGTCAATTGGCAGCCAGATCTAAAACACAGTTAGGATTAGGATGTGTTTTCGTGGATTTCACCTGTTCTGCCCCCTGTTGGTCCTTTTCAGGTAATCTGTTCATACTCTATAAATATCCTACATGGGTGGATCCACAAAAGCCAGATACAAACAAAGTGCTTTGCAGCTATATATGTCAGGGCCAAAAACAACTTGCAAACCCAGTTTCTTCAGCAACCCAGGAACGCATGGTGAACCATGGTATTCATTTGGACACAAACCTTATCAGAGCAAATCCAAGAATCCAACACGGAGAATGACAACCAAAAACAATTGTATTTAGGACTACTCAGGAAGTCTAGATTATGGGATATTATGGGTACAGTATGTCTTACAATTCGCTTTGGCAACCAACGTAGGTCACTTTCCCTTTCGGTTTTTCTTTACCCAACTCCGCCAACCCGCCCCTTTCACAGGGTCAACCGGTTTGCCTTTGCAGCGTCTCAGGGCTCCTTCGCTGTTGGGCTCAACCCTGGGCCGCCTGGACTGGGCGCGCCAGAAGTGCACGCTTCCCCGAACTTCGGATGGGCAACCCGCAAATAGTTCGCCAAACATCGCCCGCAAACGGTGGGGTTCCTCTTATATTTGGTGAGTTTCCTGCTGAAGTGAAGGGCATATTCCATTGGAGCCTGAGGTCTTTGTTATGGCTGCATAGAATCCGCTCACTCACAGCATTTGGGGTGTCCCTGGATGTAGCTTCTGTTTTTTGTTTGGCCTCACTAAGGGACAGCTTTAATATAGCATCGGTCCGAACTTCAGAAGCAACCGCCAACCTGGAGCATATGCGCAGGCGAGAGCAGGCGAAGCCATCGCCAAAGAGAGCACTCCAAGGTGGGACCGCGAGAAATTGATGCGGGGGGCCACCTTGGCTTCCCGCTCGACTTGTACTTGCCCATACGCCCGCTTTGGCTTTCTTGGTATAAAGCCGCCTCCTCTCAAACCGAAGACGGTCTGTTGGTGTGCTACAGCTTTGACCGCGCGACGATTTCTGACTTGCATGTTTGCCATTTCCAACAACCAGATGGCCAGGTCGCCCACAGTGAACGCAGACCTGACAAAGAGGACGTGGGACCTGCAAGGTGCCATCAACTGCAAACTTCAGCCACTTGATCACCATGGAAGCTTCGTCATGGTTTCACTCGTTATGTGTTTCGTTGATTCCTTTCAAGCCTCCGAATAGGCGAATCCTTGATGTTAACTCCTTGAACCTGTTGTGTTTTCGCAAACGTGGATGCCCTGGCTTGTATCAAGCCCACAGGATCACACGTCGCTACAGGGCCGAGGTCGAGAAGGCCGATGTTGCAGACGCGCCTTCCAGTTCGCTCGCAGATTTTATTGGAGCAAATGTAAGAGCTATGTGAGTTGAGGTATATTGACTTATAGAGAACTGGAGGCCATTGAACACCATGTTGCGAGGAGATGTTGTTTTGTCCTGCAACAGCTTCGGGGAACTTTCGGAGATGAGACACGAGTCCAATCCCCGCGAGCCCGCGATGGCGTTTGCCCTCGAGAGCCAGGATCATTCCAGACGAAAACTGCTCAGCAACATGCAAAGTGTGCATCTTCCGGTCTTCCGGCCGCTGTTTCCAGGCGCAAAAGAGGCTCGGACAGTAAAAGACCTGGTCGCACCACCCAAGTTGGGCGGGTTCAAATTCCCCCAGGTACCACCGGGACCGCTCAAGCCGTCCCGTGGTGAACCTCAAAACCGTGCGACTGTTTCCAGGGGGAAACCCAAAAAACGTGGCCAAATGTCTCTGAGAGCTGCTGTTTTAACTACGTTCGGCCCGCCACCCGCCAGTCTGAGCGAGATCGGCTTCGGAGATATGTCCGGCCATGAGCTCAGTTTTGCTCAAAAGAGGCGTTTGGAAGCAGCATAGACCACAGTCACAACATTCAACTCAAAGAGGTTTCAGGACAATTGGGATCAGGGTTCCCCTTTTTGACTACCCCAGGGTAGACTTGAACCTCCCAGAAGAGGGACACCTGCGTTTAAGTCTATCTTGGGAAGTCAACAAGTGGAATTTTGATTGGGATCATTCCCAACTATAAATAGAGGCGGCCGTGAGTCATTGCATGGTACACACGTTTGTGCTGAAGTTGCTCTTGGGGCTTTGCTGGAGGTCAATATGTGTTTGTCTAGCCACGTGGCACCTCATGCTCAGCTCGGCACATTTTGATCATTGCATGAGTCAGGTGTTGCAAGATGCGTTTGTTTGCATGTCGATTGCAGAGAAATGAGACGGCACCAGGGTTTTATGTGTTGCGTTAGCTCAGAATATTTGAACGCAGCTCACGTATTACAAAGAACTTCCCTGTGAAGCCGTGTTAGCACTCAATATTTGACCCCTGGTAAGGGTTGCGTGTCAGCCTCACCGAATGCCAGGCTCGATCAGCAGGTGTGCCTTGCGAGTGCCAGTTTCGGGACAAGGCTTTATTGGGGAATGCTGGCCCAAACCTCATGGGCAACATTGATCAGTCCTGGGATGCGTGTTGCGACAGGATCCTTCCTGGGTACCTGAGCCACGACAAGCATTTGTATGTGGCAGCTTATGCAGAAAAAACAAAAGTAAAAGAGGCAAAATTGTGTTGCCATGAGATGTCATGAGTTTTACCTTTTGAATCACTATGAAGGCGCTAGCCACGCGCTATCAGTTTGCTTTCCCTCAGTTTGTTGCTTTTGTGCGCAGCTTCCTTTAAACTTTTATTGGGGAATTCAGCGGCTGTGAATATTCGTCCCACCCTTTGTTTAACTGTGAATATGCATGTTTTCCTACAAACACAAATGGTTTTGTCGCTAGCAGATTTTGGCGCTAGTGCGGTGGACGAATCCCGAGGCGCTCGCGATAGTCCAGAGCGGCAATGTATTGGCATGACAGCTGCGGACAGTCTTCATAGGTGTGTGTTCCCCTTAAATTAATCCCACCAACAAGGGGTGCTCTTTAAAAAGACAGACCCTCATGATTCAGCCATGAATTCCAGCTTGGGGATTGCAAAACACCGAAATGTAAGTAAGGACCGCAGCATTGCCCTCAGCGCTCTGTGCAGCCATGAGTTAAAGACATGTTGCATAACTGAGCACCAGACCGTCAAACTGGTTCCCTCACATGGGTGTGTCTTTTTCGGGAGCCCCTTTTTGGTTGGTTTTAAAGGGAAGCCAAAAGCAACACTGATGGCTCCTGACAGAATTCAGCGGTGGAGCGCACTGTCAGCGAAAGTTGGCGATTCCCCCACTATCAAGCCTTTAAATGACAAACATGATGTATCTGTTGTGTTCTGTAAAACTTCAAGCAGACATCCCAATGCGTTTACAAGGCCATACGTATACGTCTACCGCAATGATTTTGCCAGCTGCTCAACTTCATATCATGATGTACACCTGGCATGGGGCCCCAGCTGATGCCAGGTGAAGATCATGCCGGACCAGCACAAGATGGCCAGGCGTGCAGAGGGGGGCGGGGGTCCGGGCCATGGGGTGGCCAAGAATCAGACAAGTGCCGCAAAAGGACACTGAGTTCTTTCTCCACATGTGTGTTTGTTGACGAGCTCCAGGAGTAAAATTTCCTGATAGGCCCTTAGAGTTATCTGATTGATAAATTGGGAATTGTGTCATGATTCGGCCGGCTACATGCTTTGTGCCACGCATCTTGACCAATCTTGATCCTCTTCAACTGGCGTTTTGCACACCGAGGATGATCAATCACATCTTGCATAAAACTGATTGGAGAAGTCTTCTTGCATTTGTGTCTTGTGTATGTCAGTGGCTTGCGGAGTCACAAAATGTTTGGACCAGGTTGGGGGATTATTTCTGATTTCAGGAGCCTGTTGCTCCGTGAGGATTTGTCACACCTCGTGCTGCTCAAGATGTCCTCAAACCCGGAACCGCCTTGCAATCAATCCTGAATCAATCCTGGGTCCAATCCTGGATGTTTTACTAGGTTGTTCGTCTCATCGCATAAATCCAACCGGTCCAGGTTGTTGCTGGTTTGTTTTGGGGGTAGGTTTGTCTCAAAATCGGGGCTGCCATTTTGGATGGTGGGAAAAACACGAAAACCGATGGCCGCCGAAGGAGCCTCGTCTCGCCAGGACGGTGCAGGCGGAGCTGGAGTCGGTTCAGCGCAAGGCGGGCATGGAGGCGATCTCCTACACCACCTGGGATGACACCTTTGGCCTGGGATCCAAGGGGATGGATGCTGTCGGTTGGGACCCCCAAAGACCCGGCCACAACTGTTGAGGCCTTTTTTGTTGGGGGGGATTTGATGGGTTTCACCCGATGTCGCTCGAAATTTCGGCTTGTTAAGCCTTCACTGGGAAGGAGGGGTAGGGTAGCACTTGCTGGTTGCTGGTCTGTGTTGCTGCTGCCGCCACGCTACAGCCGCATATTCTAGATTACATGTATATGATGTATGTGTACAGTATATGTATATATACACAACATCTCACATACACTTTCGATTCTGTTTTTTGGCTTTCAGAAAAGCTTGGTTTGGCAGTTTGGCATCATCTGCCCCCAATGGTGATTTCAGTTGATTGGCTTTTCAATAAAGGCGACCATGTTTAGTCAAGGAGCCGACATTAAAACTTCAAGAAGTAGATTTGAAAAGGGTGAGGCTGAGCCAGTGGCCGGCTCACTACGAAGATTTGCGCGGAAGGTTCGCAAAAGCCCTCCACCCAGCCGGTTAGTTGGTTGTGCCGCAATGCCAATTGGACCACGCGTGAGACACAGGCTCGCTCGACCCGCCGCGGAAGCCAAACATGTGCGCGTGCGCGCAGAAGCTCACGGAAGCATTTGAAGCAAACGAGCCTCGCGGAAGGTACCCTTGGGCGTGGAAGGGGCGAATAGTGACAATTTGGAACACTGCTCAGTTGTGATCAGAATCAGGAGCTATACCAAACCGCGCCCGCACGCACAGCTTCTTGTCGACTTGTCGATGTGTTGGTCTCTGCAGGTGTGCTTGAAGCAAGGTGAATGTTTCACTATGATTGCAATTTATTGTCTTGTTGTGACACACGCAAGCAGCCGTGACTTCTTATGCTGTTGTCTAAGTGAGGACTTGAATTGCTGACCCCGGGGGGCCAAAGAGCGCAGCTAAGCCAGATGATAATTGTTTGGGGGGTATAGGGGGTCATATGAGCGTTTGGTGATCTCCAGGGAATGTTTCCCTCATCTCTTAGCACGCCTCAGGTTCGGAAGACATGAAGAAGCGGTTGGATTTCCTCAGCGGCTACGCAACAAATGGAAAGTCCACGGAGGAGCCGCCACAGGGCAATGTTTTCCTGAAGGGACGTCACTGGAGCAGTGGTTTGAAAGTGTCCGCTGGTGGTTTTCCGGCTAGTTAAGGGGCATCTATAATGACACCTATAGTTGATGTTCACACCCGAGAGTTAGCCAGACACAAAGCGGGAAGAGCCAAGTTGGTCACCATACCCCATAGCCGAGCAAAGCTATTCCTGCTGGATTCTTGTCGACATGGTTGGATTCCACCCACCTTTGGATGCACTCACTCAATTCAGGTGTTTCTTTACATGTGCATGCTGATAGGCCTCGGTGGATATCTCAGTAGGTTGACTCTGAAGCATTTGAAAGCTTCAAGCACCGGGCCTTTCCCTCCTGCGCGCCTCGGAAAAATCGAATCCGACGGACTTGGCTTCACGATGGCGACAGCTGCTGGGCGCCAAATATTGTCGGATGCCTTTAGGGTCCCTTTGGTTACCCGGTTACCACTGTCCAAAATGTGTGGATTCCCTTTGGTTTCCAAAAAGTGCGAGCCACCCTACCAAGCGGGCACTCCAAGTATACACCCAAACCAAGCAATGTTGGGCTAGTTTCAATGTCCAACACACCATTCGAAGCACATATGCTGTTCTTATATGCTGCATTCCGAAGTCCCAGTTTAGCAGATTCAGCCTCAAGCCCTTGAGGTGTCTTTGGTGCAGATGCCCGAGCACATCTTCCTGAGGTCAGATTTGAGTGTCGCTCTCTTGATTGTTGCCTTGTTATTGCATGTGCCCGTGGAATCGCTTCCCTTGGCTGCGTTGTTGACGGCGAGCATGAGAGGCAGAAGCGAACACCAAACACATTGCTCCTTTCATCATTTGATTTGGTTTCAACGAGTCCCAATACCCCAGTCTAATGTTTAGACTGAAATAGTAGCCTGCTGGCTGGCTGGTGTTTATTGTGGATGATCCGCTCAAGACCTTCCCCCCCAGCTACGATTCATTGGGCGTCAGGCCAGCCGAACCTTCACTCCGAATTTCGGCTATCAATCACCCCGAAAAGCAGGGAAATGTAACCTACGGCTATCATTTTGTTTTTTGGCTTGAACTCGCATGGCTTTCCGAAGGGGCCAAGACTCCCCAAGACTGTGAACAACGTGTGAATCGCTCCATGGTCATCGAACTCGAATCCAAGAAAAGCATGGCAACCCTCTTCGAGCCTTGGATGTGTGTGTGTGTGTGCTTTTGAGTGTATTTTTTGGGTTCCAAGGAAAGCCATTGAGTGTCCCCCTTCGATACAGACCCACTTCCGTGCTTCCCGGACGCATTGCTTTAGGATCCAGGTGGCCGCGGGGGACCCCTGCAGCGTGTACGCCCTGGACGCCTTGGCTCGTGGCGCCCCAAGTAGCCATGAGGAGGCCTGGGCTGGCGTCCTGGAGGCGCCCGCTTTGAACGCCTGGGGGTCCTCCGGCTGGCAGGTTTTGACGGACGCAGAAACGATGCGGAGGGACGTGTTTCTGCCATGTCCTGCCCTGCCCTGTTTTATTTGTGATTTTCGTGGGGGGCTGGTGTGCCTGATGTCGCGAAGGGCCGAATACTTTCAGGGCATCCAGCCGTTGTCCAGGATTATGGCATCCAGCATCATCCTTCCACTGTCCAGGATTGGCGTATGACCAGTCCGGGGTGCATTTCCATCCTTTCTACTGAATCACCAGGCTTGTATCAGGTTAGAGGCCTCGTCTTGTGCATCAAGGTGGCTGTTCAGAAAGCACTTGAAACTTGCGGGCACGGCCTTGCCAGCAAGTCGTCGCGACTCATGGCACAGTCACCGCCAGCAGACAGATAGACAGATAGATAGGCAGACAGAAAGACAGACAGCAGACAGATAGACAGGCGGATAGGTAGATTAGAGGATCGTTTGATTATGCAGGTACCGTTAATACGCACATACTTACGTACATGTATACAATGCACACGCACACATACATACATACATACCTACCCACCCACCCACCCACCCAGGTACCTACCCACCGACCAACCTACGTACGCACGTACATGTACAGACATACAGACGTACAGACATACAGACGTACAGACATACAGACATATACAGACATATACAGACATGCCGACATACATGGAGCATGTATACGTACATACATACATACATATATACATACATACATACATACATACATACATAGATACAGACGTGCATAGACGCATACCTGCCCGCATACGCGTGGGATATGTTTGTGAATATAATATAGTTTGATATATGTATTTTTGTATACTATACAGTTATGCTTTGTAATAGGAAGCCACCTCACAAGTAGTTGGTGGACATGACACTCCAACTAGATGATGTTCCCACTCCCCAAATAAAAGAAGGACACCCATATATATATATATATATATGCATATTCATAAACATGTGACTTGAGGGATGGTTCATGGATTTGTTTCCTGTCAGCAGGAAGTGTTTCCCTGCCTTTTCGAGAAGCTCCTGTCCGAGGACTTCGGCGGCAGCTTCAAGCAGGCGAAGCGGGCTACCAGCCCAATTCGAATGGAAAACATGGGAAGTCGAAAAGATCAATCCAAGGCTCCACCAAACTGGAAAACACTGCAAACATGTTTACCATTTGTCAATCAAGCAGCCATCTATTCCATTTGCCAACAAACACGTTTGTAGAGGGTTGCTGGCCGAATGGTTCTTGCTTCTCAAATGAATGGGGAGCAACCCTGACAATTGCAGCTAGAGGAAAGGGATGCAGTCACAGACCCCCGAGAATGCTCTGCAGGCCCCGCAAAAATGTGCCGGCTGCCAAGTATGGGAAGCGCACGCTTGGGCCGTGCTTGTGGGCTTTTTGGAGTAGGCAGACTGAGGGCTAGTTAGTTGCCCGGTGTAGTCGTTTTGGGATAGGAATGATCTTAATCCTGGGCAGCCCTCAGCTCAGCTGGATACTTTCCGTTTATTTTTGGAAGACTTCAAAGATTTTGAGCCGTGCCTTTTGTTTGGCTTTCCGCCAGGTCTACACGCGCCGTGCCAAGCGCGCGGAGGAGTGGCGCCGGCGCAAGCAGAAGTCGGAGAAGGAGGAGGCTTGGGAGAAGCCGCTGCCGGCACCCACCAAGAAGCCGCCCCTGGGCTCAGCTAAGAAAGAAGGCGCTACGGGCTGGAAATGTACAGAAGGGCTTTTCCCCAAAAGGAGATTGCGAGAAACACGTGAGGTCTGGGTCCACGTCGTTGAGTTTTTCTCAAAGTATCTTAAATGGGATATGAGCCACTAAACAGTTGAAAAACAATATTGTAAAGGACGGGACGTGACAACACGCGTGATAGAACTAGTGGAATGATAGGGTCCACACAAATGAAGGATAGGTTATTTGTCAACCTTGTGTTGTTCGAGCGCCCGAGCTGTATCACTAAGCAAGTTGGTCACACGCGCAGGCACACTCAGACACATTCAAACCATCGAAGCAGGGCACATGAAATCAAACCATCAGAAATTGGACGGCTTGTATGTGATCATTTCCTACCACAAGTTTGAGTATATTCCTCCCTTACCGGCTTGTTCATGTCTTTGCTGGGAGAGTAAGGACAAATTAAACTGATAGTGTGGGTGCAGACATGCAGGGTTAGTGTCAGCCATGGGATTCAAATTCCAGAAGGCTTGCAATCAACAACCGGGACACACCATGTGCCCTGGGTGGTCCAAAGAACTTCTTAGGGCTTTCTTGACATGAATACCGCCACGGCGTGCTCTATATGTTTGACCCACAAGATGTTGTTTGGTTTCCGTGTGCAAGGGGCTTAAAGGGTCCCTGGACATGAACAGAACAAACAGATCTCATTTCCTTGGGGCAAGTAGTTGCGATCTCGCTGTGAATCACACGAAACTTTCAAGAGCAACCAGCTGGATTGGCATGATACATTGTTGATTCGCGCGTATTGAGATAGACATCTCACACATTGTATCAATAGACAAGTTTAGACAGGACAGGGGACTTTGGTGTTCTCGTTGGCACAGTGAAGAACACCTATTATATCATGTCTAAGAAACTTGGAATCTAGTGGAGCAGGCATCAATAGCTACGTAAATGCTTTGGAAATCAGAAACAAAGGACCCATCTACAGTACATGAGAAGGGGGCATGTTGGCTTTGTGTATCTAGGGTGTTCGCATCAATACACTCACATATCTCAGGATCAAGCACAGGTTGTGCATCTTATTTCAGAATCAAAAGAAACTCATGTAAGATCACCAAGAAGGGCAGCGAACTACTGCCGCTGCTACTACTACAGACTACTACGACGACTACTGCTACTGCTACTGCTACTGCTACTCTTACTGCTACTGCTAGTACTACTACTACTACTACTACTACTACTACTACTACTACTACTACTACTACTACTACTACTATTGAAGTACAGCTGCTACTACTACTTCTCCTGCTGCTACTACGACTGCTACTAGTACTACTCTTACTGCAAGTCGGTTTTGTTTTTGATCCTGAAGTTTGTTTCGATTGATCCATTATCGGATTGATAAGCTTACACCTTGCTTTTGGCTTATTTAGGTGAACACTTCCTATGTTTACATCCGGGTCGAGTTACCACTTCCATCCTCTAACACTGAGCATTGTGGTTTTCATCATGCGCTCAACTTGTGCTTTGCCAAATTGGGCTACCGCGCCGCTTCTACACGTGCGCAAATCCATTGGGATGTGTGCTTTTTAGAAGGAAGCCATATTGGCTTGGTTTAAAGGGGAACGAAAAGGAAAGCCATCCACCGTAGGCATCCCCCATTTTGACACCTCCCCAAAATCGCGGTGCCTAAAGGTTTACCTTTGAACCAGCCCAAGAATCCGCCCAAACCATGGGGCAAAGCCCAGGCACAACAAGCTGCTCTTCGCGGACAACCGGCAGGGGCCCTTGGCGGACAGCACCTTGGGCCTCAAGGTCTGCGGCCGCTGCGGGGAGAAGTACGCGCCCTCCAACAAGACCTCCCGATGCCGACACCACGAGGGCAATTTGGTTCCCCACGGCCTGGAGGCATTCCAATGCCTTGGAGCTTCTGTCGGGGAAGCTCTCCTGTCACTGTGTTTGGGCAAACATGGTTGGGAAATATATATATTTTTTTTGCCTGCTGCTTTGTTTGTTTCTTACATCTTTGGGAACCACTCAGTCGCCCTTTCCCGCATGTCCTCCACTTGGAGATGTGCGCCAAAATGATTTGCCTTTTATGCCACACGCAAAGCGGAATTATATAATTACCATTCATCCTTCTATCACCTCGGGCCTATTTCCACCTGGCTGTCTACCAACTCTACCCTCTCTCCCACAAGTTTCTTAAACCATCCTCCCTTCTCTTCCCGTTCAGGCGGGTGCTTTGACGCGGCGAGACCAGCAGCAGGTGGCCAAGTGCGGGCGCTTCGCCCTGCGGAAGATCGGGGGCATCGCGGGAAGGTCGCGGGCCTCCAAGGGTCGGGGCCACTGGTCCAAGGGCTTGGGCCTGCCGGCCGCGCTGGCGGGCAAGACCATGGTATGGGAGGACCCGTGTTTCGTTGCTACCCCTTTGATTGTTCAGCCTCCCTTTAGTGGTTTGGATAGGTTGGGCTGGGTTCCTCCACGGGTAAAAAAATGCAAACCGCCGCTGCAAGCACCAACCAAGGTGTAGAAAACAAATGAGGCCTGGAGACAGGGTTGATCTTCAATGGTGCGCCAGTCTGGGTGAAGTATGGCTACCACACACACACCGGCAAAAACTGGGAGTAACATGATGTCAGCAATGTGAAAGTTGGTGAATGAGCGAAGCGACCGTACCTGACCCTGCTGGTGTTTTTTTTTTTGCCCGGGTACTTGGGGTATTGGGTCAAAATGTTGTGCTTTTTTGAGGGTTCCTTCTTTTTTGGTGTTTTTGAAGGGAAGCAAAAAGGAGAACCACCAATTTGGGGGGTCCCACCTTTAAAAAAAAGCACACCTTTGGCAACCTCCGACTTTCCGCCTCGTTAGGACGTTTGCATTGGCCCTGGTGAAGTCCTATGTGCCTGGCAGAGCGCTGAGACAGCTCAGTCTGTGGGTGAAAGAAGCCTAAGAGTCCAAGTACCTTCTAAACGGGGCAGACTTAGCTTACTTGTTTTGTTTTAATATGTTTGCCTTTTTGGGTTTCCAACATTTTTCCTTTCAACCAGCGAAAAGCATAACTTTTGTTGAAGCATGTCAGTTTCCCTTTCAAAGCACACACACACGGGCAGATGTCGAGACATGGAAGACGGGTTTCAGTTTTTCGAGACGGAAACAGACAAGTTCTCAGAGCCCTTCTAAGACTCAGAAGCTTTCCTGGAACTACCCGGGAGGACCCGGGCAAGCTTTTGGGTTTTCTAAATTTACCACTGGTTGAAGCACTTTTGTTTAACCAGCCAGTTGGTTCCCTCCAAAGGGGGGAGTCTTGGATAAATCAGAGGATCCCCTCAATTGGGTCGGTTTCCTTTTGATCCAAGGGGGTACACAACTCCAGTTGTTAAAACCGCCTTCGAGTGAAACCGACATCGAGGTCCTGCTGCTCACAGGTCGGCTTGTTCGCGGACGGGTGTCAGGTTGGAAGCCACCGGATGCTTGGCTGAGTTAGCATAGCATGGCTATGTCTCAACATAGGGGAGCCCCCGACATGGGTAGTTTCCTGTTGGTTCAATTCAACACCCAAACAGGTACCCTCAAAACGACATATGTCTCTTCTACAATCACAGCTTTACACATGAAGTTAAGTTTGCAAGTACGCCTGGATGAAACTCGACAACATGCTCCTTTTACCCACAAGCGGAGTTCACATACTGCTGTACTGCCACCCCGCCCCCTTCTAGAGGGGCGCTGCAGCTGTTCAATGAGTAGATATTGAAAGAACAGCAGCTGGAGGGCAATTGTTGGCTGAGAGATGTTGAATTGACACCCAAGATCAAGCCAAGACTGACGGGATGCAGCCAAGCCTCAGAAACCTCGTGTCGTGCTCACCATTTTTGCGCGTAAGATTCAAGTCTTGCCACGAAATACGCGCAAATGGATTCCACTTTTCAAGGTCCCAGCGAAGCAAAGCATTGGAAGGCCCGAGGTCATTTTACAACCCCGAATTCATAGATGATGTTTGACAAAAGAGGCCAGGTGCGAAACAGAACTTTGGCGGGGAAGAGAACCGACGACATTTGACGACATGCCATGATTCGTGTTGCTTTCTTCGCATCCTGAAGGCCTTACTGAGGGAGGTGAGCTGAGCGTTGTACATAGGGATCTCTGAGCTCAGTATGAATTGGCTTTTACAGGTCCGCAGATTTTGGTGACATATTCCCAAGACAGGACCGACCGCAACGAATTCTGTGCAAGTAGCTGCCAAGCGACCGCAGCACCAGTATCAGACATGCAGCTTGTTGAAATGATTCCTTTTTCAAAGCAAAAAAGGATCAACGCGGGCAAGGGGAGGTGCTGACTTGCTTGCAGCTCAGCTTTTGCATGCAGGCTCAAAGTAACGATCACCCTTGCATTGTGCTGTGCTTCGCAGCTTTTTCAGAGTCACCTGACGAACCATGACGAAGGTCCCACACTTGGGGGGTTCCTTTGTCCATTTTTGTGAAGTAGAGTAATTTTGCCAGATGTATTTCTCCAAGTTCCTGATCTTGTGCCAAATCATTGGAACTCTTTTTGGGTGGCTCTTAAGAGGAAAGCACGGAGGGAAGGATGGTGTCCTGCCCGAGAGCTGTAGCCTGCAACGAGGAGCTCAAGGATGATGGCTTATACGAGGGAGAGCCCGGTGGCCCAGGTAGAAACTGCGGACGGAAGTGATCCGCAAGATACGTGTGGGCGTGTGTGTGTGTGTGTTTGTCTCTTCTTCTTCTTTTTGGGGTGGGGGGGAACCCCAAAATGGTGGTTTTCCTCTTGGTCTGCTTTCAAAGCCACCAAAAAAAAGTATTCAAACATAGACACCCATGTGACCATGGCTGTCCTTTCTCAGTCAGTTTGGCTGACCATAGATGGCACTGGTTTCAGCTTGGTGCTTATTTTACCGTTGCCATCGTTTGATTTCCAAAAGGACACCTAGGAGCGTGTCGAAAAGGCTCCAGTGGCTGCATGTGTTTAAAGTCATCCCTCAAGTGATTGCTTCGGGGGATGATCCCTGTCTCTAACTCCGATAAGCCGCCGAAACAGCCAACATCATGGAACCAGGTTCATCAATAGACTCGGTGCCTACAGTGACACACAGCTTGTTTTGCAAGATGTGAGTCTTGGCTCATGTCTAAGCTGCCTGTGAGAAGCTTCCGCCACTCCTCCAGGAGCCTTTTGCATGTTGGTTGTCGTTTTGTTGATGCTTGGTTCACAGGGAAACCAAGAAAGAACACCCGTTTGAAAGTTAAAAAGAAGAAATCACATTTGCTTCCGGCACCTTTCATGCTGCTCACCTAAAAAGAGACCAGGCACCCATGAAGGTTCTTGTGTTGGGTGTTTATTATCTCCGGGTGAGTCATTGATATTGTACCATGTTGACTCGTCCGACTGTTATTTGGCTTGAGATCACTTAAATTCACCTGGGACCTGGCATCAAAGACACCAGGTGCTACCTGACATGAGAGAACCGGTCGGTTGCCTGAGGTTTCTCTACGGACTCCGTCATGGCAAAGGGAAGCACACGTTCCAAGATCAGGTGCGGTATGTGGCGAGTCGATTTCTAAGCAGCAATCCTGATAGGGCAGAAGCACAAAAGTGCTATGTCAGCAGCATGGAAATAATTTGATGGTTTGTTTGAGCACAGGCGATAGCAATTGCGAGCTGTGTTTAGAGTGGTCTTGATGGAAAGTTATGTGCTCCCTTGGGTATGGGGACTAGCACAAGATTGGCCATATTGTTTGGCGATGTTACCTACGCATAGCACAACTTGATGTCGCACAATAGTTTGGAATTGGACGGCCTTTGGTATGTCAGACATTTGGACACTTCAGGCACTCCTCAGATGGCACGTTCGCGGTTAAATCTAGAGAGTTGTTTGCTTTGTACTAGTTCGGCCTCAAATGGTATGCTACCATTGGGCGATTAGGGCTTAGGGTTGTTGGGCTTTGTCTAGGTTTCACTTGCGGCATTCAACGTTCAGGTAAAGGGCATGTAGAGAGTGTAGGTTGGCATGGTTGGTACGATGTGTCGTGCTTGGGACTACAGTTAGACGTTCATGGTTGAGCTTATATATATATATATGGGGTGTTTGGGGAAACGCTCAGGGGAAATTGCTTGGTATGTGGTTGTCAACGAGCAGTAACGAGCAGTGCTCCTGGTTGGCACTATGCACAACTGCACAGGTCCCCCGTTTATGTCACTCAAGATGCCTGAATCCTTCCAAACACTGGCAAGCGTAGCCGTCTCATCCAGAAGACGTGCTTGAGGGCTGTGTGCCCTAGTTTCCAGATTTGCAGATTCAAATGTAGGCGGATGTTTGCTGCTGTTTCCCAGTCGCACACTTCTGCAGGTCTATGAAGGTCAGTTCATGTGGGGCCACCGGCACGGCGCCGGCGTTTGCGTCAAGCTGGATGCTGAGTGTTGCCCCTGTGGCTCGCATGGGTTTTCCTTTTTGGTTTCCGATGTGGAAAACGATGCATGGTTGTGATTTGAGGGTTATATCTACATCAATGTTTGAAAGTGGTGTGCTTCAGGATGTTGGGTGGCCTTCCCTGGTTCACTTGTGTTTGTTTTTTGTCAAAGGCTCACAGGTTGTGTTCAATTAGAATTGGTGCCATTCAGGGAAGCTATCCACGTTTGGCACCGTTCTCAAACAAAATCAAATGCATTGTTTACGTGTTTCAAGTTCATGGTTTGACGCAGGGTTGTTTCATCAGGCAGTCAACAGTAGAATGTTAAAGCAAACATGTTTGGGTTGCAATCCTAAGGTAGTCAAACTGGTTGACTCGGTTTGGAGCTTTGAAAAGGAACGCCAACAGAACACCAAACGTCCAGGGCTTGATCAAAAGCCCTATCGGGATGGGTGTTCTAGAGGCATTCGGAGGCCGAAGAGCGCAAGATCAGAAACCAGGGAATGTTTGGACGGGGTTTCAGGGTTACTTGCTCAAAACTCGGGCGGATGATCGTCCCAGCCCGCCTTTTGGATTCTGTACATCTCGGGTAGACCCATATAGTACCAGGTTTTGATCGTGACGCAGGTGAGTGATGATGTTTGCAGACCTGTCGCCACAGGCATGTGCATCGTTGTTCCATCGTTCTTCTGACTCATCCCAGGTTTCTGTTATTGGTGCCACCATCACGTGCATACACGTTTGCATGACCTCATGGTTGTTCGAGATCCCTGAACAGCGATAGTTATACCAGGTCCTGTTCGGCAAAGTTCGATGTGCACCTGGCAATGCAGCGTGATAGAGAAGGCTGTTTGACCCCTGTGGCTGGCAAGAAACCCTTTGCAAGTAGCAAGGGGAGTCAGAGTGCCGGGCAACCTGCGCTGGCATGGGCTTAGCAGGTGCCTGAATCGCCCTGCTCATCTGCAGAAGCCGCCCACTTTTGGCCCTAGCACCTAAGAGTCTCATAGATTGCAAAACCCACCCCCTCCCAACCCCCTTTTCAAAACAAGGCCAAATGAAGAGGGAACATGCAAATGAGGCCTTAGAAAGGCCTTATTACGGCCTGGGGCCGTGAGCGTTCAAAGCTTGGTTGCTTAGGACTGACGGCACCAAAACCACTGGCACTTGGAAGGCCAGACGGGCAAGGAAATGTTGGCGTGACTTACCTGGCACTTGACTCCTTTCCAACTCACCGCAAAAGGACTTGTCTAGGTCCCCCAGTAGTGCCCTTTTACAATGTTTTGGGGGGAGGGGAATAAAATAGACTACAGAAAAATGGTACCCTTATTTTAACCTCTCTACTGGAGGAGCTAGTTGCATATATACACTTGCATGTTTTCCCTCAGGCCCCTTCATTTGAAACTTGGAAGCATCCTGAAAAAAACATCCTGATTTGTTGACGACATCAGGAGCAGTTGTTAAGTGCGGGAGTATGTGTTTTCGCCGGGCATCAACATCAGAGCAAACAACTAAGCAACCAGCCGAACCGCAAAGCAACCAGCCGACCAACCAATCAACCAACCAAGCAACACACACACACACACGCAAACAACACTAAACAAAACCACACACCCACAAACACACACAAAAAAGAAGCAAGCAAGCAAGCAAGCAAGCAAACAAACAAGCAAGCAAGCCAGCCAGCCAGCAAGCAAGCAACACAACAACACAGAAACACAGCAACACAGCAACACAGCAACACAGCAACACAGCGCAGCAACACAGCAAGCAACAAAGCAAGCAACACAGCAAGCAAGCAAAACAACAAGCACGAAAACAAGAAGTCAAGCAAGACAACGATCAAACGATAAAGCAAACAGCAAGAGCACAAACAAGCAAACAAGAAGCAAGCAAGTAGGCAAGTAAGCAACTAAGCAGGGCAACCGATCAAGCAGCCAAGCAAGCAGGCAAGTATGCAAATCCGGCAGCAAGCAAACCATCACAAACAAAAGCAAGCCAACAAGCAAGCATGCAAGCAAAAAGCAATCGAGCAAGCCGCAAGAACACAAACAAGCAAACAAACAAGCAAATAAGCAAATAAGGAAATAAGCAAATAAGCAAGCAAGCAAGCAAGCAAGCAAAAAGCAATCGAGCAAGCAAGCAAGCAACCACATTCCAAAACAAACAAGCCTGGTAAGAAGTGTTCAGTTTGGGATCCTTGCAGTCTGGCCGACTGGACGGCTCCGTGACGATCCTCAAAGATGGGCAACAGATCTGGCAAGGCGAGTTCAAGGCGGGTTCCATTGCCTACACGCAGCAAAAACCTCAATGAGTCGCCTTTCTCGAGAATGGAAGGTGACAGAAAGGTTTTGGAAGACTCCTGACTCTTCAGGGAGCCCTTTGTCTGCTTCCATAACAATTGAGTTGGAAAGGCGGTATTTGAGTTTGTCCCTGAGCCCCCAGCCCTCAACATGGACGGTTGTCGTTTGGTACCCTGTGAAAGAACTCCAAAAAGGGTGCCATCCAACAACGAGACACCCGTTTTATGCGTTCGTCCTGTACTACAGTGATGGACAAGATCTCAATATTGAGTTCAACATTGGCCATTGCTACCCAAAGAGGGAGATCCTCAAACATCCTCGATTTGGAAGCCAAAGCGAAGATTTCGCGTGCCCCAGCAGCACCCACCTCAGTTGGCTGAAGTTTTCCAGG